GCCTATCGACAGAACCGCAATTTACGTTAATAAACCATGTCGTGGGCCATTCTAAAACTACTCGCGGGCCCTTAACCATTTCATTACACTTTGTTCAGTCATGTTACCTCATTGGCTACCTAGCAAACAACCTTGTAACTTTACCAGTACAGTGGCTTGCCAAAAGTATTCACCCCCCTTGGCATTTCTCCAATTTTGTTGTCTTACAACCTGGAATTAAAATGGATTTGTTGGGGGTTTGTATCATTTGATTTACACAACATGCCTACCACTTTGAAGATGCAAAATATTGTTTTATTGTGAAACAAACAAGAAATAAGACAAAAAAACAGAAAACAGCGAGCATAACTATTCACCCCCCCAAAGTCAATACTTTGTAGAGCCACCTTTTGCAGCAATTACAGCTGCAAGTCTCTTGGGGTATGTCTCTATAAACTTGGCACATCTAGCCACTGGGATTTTTGCCCATCCTTCAAGGCAAAACTGCTCCAGCTCCTTCAAGTTGGATGGGTTCTGCTGGTGTACAGCAATCTTGGAGTCATACCACAGATTCTCAATTGGATTGAGGTCTGGGCTTTGACTAGGCCATTCCAAGACATTTAAATGTTTCCCCTTAAACCACTCGAGTGTTGCTTTAGCAGTATGCTTAGGGTCATTGTCCTGCTGGAAGGTCCCAGTCTCAAATCTCTGGAAAACTGAAACAGGTTTCCCTCAAGAATTTCCCTGTCTTTAGCGCCATCCATCATTCCTTCAATTCTGACCAGTTTCCCAGTCCCTGACGATGAAAAACATCCCCACAGCATGATGCTGCCACCACCAATCTTCACTGTGGGGATGGTGTTCTCGGGGTGATGAGAGGTGTTGGGTCTCATCTGACCAGAGAACCTTCTTCCCTATGTTTGGGGAGTCTCCCACATGCTTTTTGGCGAACACCAAACGTGTTTGCTTATTATTTTCTTTAAGCAATGGCTTTTTCCTTGCCATTCTTCCGTAAAGCCCAGCTCTGGGGAGTGTACGGCTTAAAGTGGTCCTATGGACAGATACTCCAATCTCCGCTGTGGAGCTTTGCAGCTCCTTCAGGGTTATCTTTAGTCTCTTCCTTGCCTGGTCTGTGAGTTTTGGTGGGCGGCCCTCTCTTGGCAGGTTTGTTGTGGTGCCATATTCTTTCCATTTTTTAATAATCGATTTATTGGTGCTCCGTGGGCTGTTCAAAGTTTCAAGATATTTTTTTATAACCCAACCCTGATCTGTACTTCTCCACAACTTTTTTTTTTTTTTTTTTCATTTCACTACACCAATTTGGACTATTTTGTGTATGTCCATTACATTAATCCAAATAAAAATCAACTTAAATTACAGGTTGTAATGCAACAAAATAGGAAAAACGCCAAGGGGGATGACAACTTTTGCAAGGCACTGTATATCCAAACATTTGGGGGCATAGAAAGAAAGGAAAAGGGATATCTTCTTCAGGAGATCAATGATCATAGCACTGAACGATTGTCAGATTTCTTGCATGTCCTCATCACAAACCTGACGTGCTTAAAGAGACAGTGTAAAATGTTCAATGTAATGCACTCTATAGGAAAATAGTGCTTTTACACACTGTAGAAACCTAATATTCCAGGTAATTTTAATGACTGATATTTGTATCAACATATGCTTCAAAAGTAGCTAGAATTAATATAGGCCCAATATAGGCTGTATCTCAATCAATTAAAACATATATATAATCTGGTGCTCATACATTTTATGTGGTGCTACCAATGAAAAATGTTAATTTAGAGCCCTGTGTGTGTGTTTGTGTGTGCATCATGCTATTGCAACTTGTGTCATGGCTAGTAGTCAGTGTTGGGAGTAGAAAGAGAGAGAGGCTGCAGAGACTACATTCAAAGAGCTGGCAACAATCAAAACAACAGCTAGAGTAGAAAAATAAATCTGTTTAAAAATATACATCTATATCTGCTCTCATGTCTGATCAGGATTCCAGGTACAATTCATGGGAAGCAAATAATCCCTTGGAGAAAAACATCTTGATTTCAACGCCATTAGATACCAGTTAAGAGCTGTAACTGGGATTGAGGGTTGAGTAGGACTGAGTATGGTACCCACAGAGAACTAGGATGAGATTGTATTCTATTTCTATGATGATACAGTGGGGGAAAAAAGTATTTAGTCAGCCACCAATTGTGCAAGTTCTCCCACTTAAAAAGATGAGAGAGGCCTGTAATTTTCATCATAGGTACACGTCAACTATGACAGACAAAATGAGAATTTCTTTTCTCCTGAAAATCACATTGTAGGATTTTTAATGAATTTATTTGCAAATTATGGTGGATAATAAGTATTTGGTCACCTACAAACAAGCAAGATTTCTGGCTCTCACAGACCTGTAACTTCTTCTTTAAGAGGATCCTCTGTCCTCCACTCGTTACCTGTATTAATGGCACCTGTTTGAACTTGTTATCAGTATAAAAGACACCTGTCCACAACCTCAAACAGTCACACTCCAAACTCCACTATGGCCAAGACCAAAGAGCTGTCAAAGGACACCAGAAACAAAATTGTAGACCTGCACCAGGCTGGGAAGACTGAATCTGCAATAGGTAAGCAGCTTGGTTTGAAGAAATCAACTGTGGGAGCAATTATTAGGAAATGGAAGACATACAAGACCACTGATAATCTCCCTCGATCTGGGGCTCCACGCAAGATCTCACCCCGTGGGGTCAAAATGATCACAAGAACGGTGAGCAAAAATCCCAGAACCACACGGGGGGACCTAGTGAATGACCTGCAGAGAGCTGGGACCAAAGTAACAAAGCCTACCATCAGTAACACACTACGCCGCCAGGGACTCAAATCCTGCAGTGCCAGACGTGTCCCCCTGCTTAAGCCAGTACATGTCCAGGCCCGTCTGAAGTTTGCTAGAGTGCATTTGGATGATCCAGAAGAGGATTGGGAGAATGTCATATGGTCAGATGAAACCAAAATAGAACTTTTTGGTAAAAACTCAACTCGTCGTGTTTGGAGGACAAAGAATGCTGAGTTGCATCCAAAGAACACCATACCTACTGTGAAGCATGGGGGTGGAAACGTCATGCTTTGGGGCTGTTTTTCTGCAAAGGGACCAGGACGACTGATCCGTGTAAAGGAAAGAATGAATGGGGCCATGTATCGTGAGATTTTGAGTGAAAACCTCCTACCATCAGCAAGGGCATTGAAGATGAAACGTGGCTGGGTCTTTCAGCATGACAATGATCCCAAACACACCGCCCGGGCAACGAAGGAGTGGCTTCGTAAGAAGCATTTCAAGGTCCTGGAGTGGCCTAGCCAGTCTCCAGATCTCAACCCCATAGAAAATCTTTGGAGGGAGTTGAAAGTCTGTGTTGCCCAGCGACAGCCCCAAAACATCACTGCTCTAGAGGAGATCTGCATGGAGGAATGGGCCAAAATACCAGCAACAGTGTGTGAAAACCTTGTGAAGACTTACAGAAAACGTTTGACCTGTGTCATTGCCAACAAAGGGTATATAACAAAGTATTGAGAAATTTTTGTTATTGACCAAATACTTATTTTCCACCATAATTTGCAAATAAATTCATTAAAAATCCTACAATGTGATTTTCTGGATTTTATTTTCTCATTTTGTCTGTCATAGTTGACGTGTACTTATGATGAAAATTACAGGCCTCTCTCATCTTTTTAAGTGGGAGAACTTGCACAATTGGTGGCTGACTAAATACTTTTTTCCCCCACTGTACCCAGAAAATGAACTCTACAACTCTGAGTAGCCAACAATGCTACAGCAGAGCTTAATGTTGTTGTTGATAACTGTTATCAACAATAGAGCTGATTAATCAAAGCAAGACAATACTTTCCAAACCCTGGAGATTGCACTCTGCAACTACTAGTTTCCTTGGCAACTAATCGCTGAAAATACATGTAAGAAATGAGCGCAAACACTGTAGTTACAAAGTTTACATTGATCTGTTGAAAGATGTATTGTTTCTGAAAGATGCATATCAGAGGTATAGAAAGGAAGAAACGGAAATAGATCTCTTTATAAACTTTAGATGTACATTGAACAATTTAAAGATTCAAAACGTAACATTTGGTGCCACCAGATGGAAGAACGTGTGTTTCATAGCTATGCAAAAAGCAGGAAGCTTATGATGAGTAGCTATGGATTATTTACTTCCCAAACAAACTGATTAGAGTTTATGAGTTTAATTCCCATAACAGCATGTGATGTGTTATTCCATAACACTTGGATATGAAGAGCAGAACAAGCTTGAGTCTTAATAAGCAGAATCTAAATTCTGAGAGAATAGATAGACAATCTGATTCGTTTTTCCTTTGGTAGACTTACTGCCCGTTTCAAAAGAGTGACAGTTGAAATTTGAAAACAATCCATTTGAATAAACGCCCCGAAGGTAATCTGTTTTTAGTTATAAAACATTAACAGAGATGCATCAAGAGAAAGAAAAATGATGACAAGAGAGCGGTATCAGGATCTTGTAAACTCAAACACAGTAGCTTCCATGATACTTGGACCAGTAAAAAACAACATGTTGAGAGTACACAAGACCAAAAAGCTTATCTGAAATCTTCAACCACTCCCCTACAGTGAAGGCAGGCAAACTTTGAAAATACAAAACAAATCGAAAAGGTTCTGAATCACGTTTTGAATAATATTTTCCTTTTTTTGATTACCTAAAAAGTCTCATCCTTAGAAAGAAACACAATTCTTCCAAAGCCACATTCATTTTTCTTGATTTTTGTATTTTTTTTGCCTTTTCCATCAGTTAGTTTTGTGTTTTGTGAGTTCAGCTATCTGCGGACAAGGAGAAGCGAGCAGAGAGCCCCCTGCTGGTCAGGAGGAAGCAGTACGTGCTCTGAGGGGCTTCATCACGGAGAAACCCCCACATCTCCTCAGTGGTAGATGCCACCTCAGTGAAGCGCTGGCAGAGGAAGAGTCCATCCCAGTGATGTAGTGGGGTTCAGTCAGTGAATCGCTGACAAGCTTTTTTCCAGCGGCAGGCTGTGCACCACATGTCCCTCTTCTCCATGCCGTACACTTTACGGCACTTTTTGGCATCACCACGGGGTTTCCTTGGCAACCAAGAAGATGGCACACAGTTAGACTTTACACTACAATCCCATGAAGTTGATAAACACACTCACACAGCAAGGGTCAACACACATACTGTGTACCTGGTTCCTGGTGCTGGTTTGGGCAGGGGGGATGTAAAGGGGGGTGTCTTGCAGATTGTGGTGTGTGTGTGAGGGGCAGGCTGTCTCTTCTCCCCGAAGCTCACCGTGCGGATGTGAGTCAACGGGCCCTGCAGGGGCAACCACAGGTCAAAGGGCATTCAACACCAACCAATCATAGCATGGCAGTCCATCATTAAGGGTTACACCTAGTGCTCTGAGATTTTCCTGACCATGTGACGTGACCAGAAAGAACTCTCCGTAACTACGGCTCTAGATCAGTGTCACCTCTTCAGACCGTGTTTCTCTTCACACTGGCTATGTTAGGGCTGAACTGATTCTAGTTCAGCCCTAAAGACAATATGTCTAGATAGTAGACAACACTCCAGGGCTGGGAGGCAGAGTAGAAGAAAAAAGGAGAGAGATTAAAGAGGTTAGTTGGGGGTGGTGGGAGCGAGGGAGTAGGAGTAGAGAGGTGAGAGATGGGGGAGTGAAAAATAGGGGTGGGGTGAAGATGGAGAGATGATTAAAGAAGAGAAAAAAGTGGAGGTAGAGGGAGGTTGAGCGACAAAGAATGATACAGAAAGAAAAGGGAGACAGATACTATGGAAAATGTAGTAGAAGAGAGAAGGCGACTGCCTCACCTAAAGAAATCTATTGATCTGACGGGACGTCATGACATGTGCAGCTTTAAGCCCGTGGACAACTCAGTTTCATGGACATAATTAGCTACACACAAACAGACCAGGGGAACCAAAACATTATCTGTCATGAAGTAGAGGACAGCTACATGACACTACTGGAGAGTCTCTATAGCAACAGAGAGTACCATAGCCGTTGGAGAAGAAGGTGTATGTGCGTGCACGTGTGTGCCTGACAGTTCTTACCTGGTAGGCGTGGTCAGTACGGATATGGCAGAGCGAGGAGGGAGCTGATTGGCTGAGCAGGCTGGGGGCGTGACCCTGCGGTCCCCTCACGATGATTTGGGAGGGCTCAGAGCGGGGTACAAAGGCAGCGGGGGAGAAAGGGGGGAAGATGGGGGGAGGGCCGGTAGTGGTGGGGGAGGTGGGTGTGAGGCTGGACAAGCCCTCTGATAGGCTGTCCATGTTGACCTCGATCTCTGAGTAGTAGAAGTCTTCCTCGCCGTCACTGTAGTCCGAGTCACAGTTCCGCCTGCACCATAGGAGAGTGACATACACCACCGGTCAAACGTTTTAGAACACCTACTCATTCAAGGGTTTTTCTTTATTTTTTACTATTTTCTACATTGTAGAATAATAGTGAAGACATCAAAACTATGAAATAACACATTTTGAATCATGTAGTAACCAAAAAAGTGTTAAACAAATCAAAATATATTTGAGATTTGAGATTCTTCAAATAGCCACCCTTTGCCTTGATGACAGCTTTGCACACTCTTTACCAGGCCGTGATGCAGCCGGTCAGGCCGCTCTCGATGGTGCAGTGGTAGAATTGGAGAGTACCTGGGGTGGCATGCCGAATTTCTTCAGCCGCCTTAGGAAGTAGAGACACCGTTGTGCCCTCTTGACAAGAGTGGTGTTGTTGTTGGTCCATGTCAAGTCCCGAGTGGCGCAGTGGTCTAAGGCACTGCATCGCAGTGCTAGCTGTGCCACTAGAGATCCTGGTTAGAGTCCAGGCTCTGTCGCAGCCGGCCGCAACCGGGAGACCCATGGGCGGCGCACAATTGGTCAAGCGTCGTCCAAGGTAGGGGAGGGTTTGGCCGGCAGGGATGTGGGTTCGTTTCCCACGGGGGGCCAGTATAAAATAAAATAAAAATAAAATTAAAACGTATGCATTCACTAACTGTAAGTCGCTCTGGATAAGAGCGTCTGCTAAATGACTAAAAATGTAAAATGTAAATGTAAGTCCTCGGTGATGTGGATGCCGAGGAACTTAAAACTGCTGACTCGCTCTACTGCAGTCCCGTTGATGTGGATTGGGGCATGTTCCCTCCTCTGCTTCCTGAAATCAACAATCAAGTCTTTTGTTTTGCTGACGTTGAGGGAGAAGTTGTGTTCCTGGCACCACCATGCCAGTTCACTTACCTCCTCCCTATAAGCTGACTCGTTGTTGTTGGTTATCAGGCCTATAATCGTGATGTCGTCAGCAAACTTGATGATGGAGTTGCTGTCGTGCAAAGCCAGGCAGTTGTGGGTGAACAGGGAATACAGCAGAGGGCTGAGGACAGCCCTGGGGGGCTCCTGTGTTAAGAGTGGAGGAGTTCTTGTTACCAATCCTCACAGCCTGTGGTTTGCCCGTCAGGAAGTCCATGTTCCAGTTGCAGATGGTGGTCCAGACCCAGGGCTCTGAGCTCCGTGTCGAGCTTGGAGGTAACAATAGTGTTGAATGCTGAACTTTAGTCAATTAAGAGCATTCTCACATAGGTGTTCCTCTTGTCCAGAGTTGCTAGGGCCATGTGAATAGTGATGGAAATGGCATCTTCCATGGATCTGTTGGAGCGGTAGGTAAATTGGAGAGGGTCCAGTGTGCCTGGTGTGGGCCATGACTAGCCTCTCGAAGCACTTCATGATGAACGGGGTGAGTGCGACGGGGCAATTGTAATTTGGGCATGTCACATAGTTTTTCTTGGGCACTTGTACGATGGTGATCTCCTTGAAGCAGGAGGGGACTACAGCCTGGGACACAGAGAGGTTGAAGATGTCCGTGAAGACGCCCGCCAGCTGGACAGTACACACTCTGAGGACGCATATATATACAGTGGGGAGAACAAGTATTTAATACACTGCCGATTTTGCAGGTTTTCCTACTTACAAAGCATGTAGAGCTCTGTAATTTTCATCATAGGTACACTTCAACTGTGAGAAACGGAATCTAAAACAAAAATCCAGAAAATCACATTGTATGATTTTTAAGTAATTAATCTGCATTTTATTGCATGACATAAGTATTTGATACATCAGAAAAGCAGAACTTAATATTTGGTACAGAAACCTTTGTTTGCAATTACAGAGATCATACGTTTCCTGTAGGTCTTGACCTGGTTTGCACACACTGCAGCAGGGATTTTGGCCAACTCCTCCATACAGACCTTCTCCAGATCCTTCAGGTTTCGGGGCTGTCGCTGGGCAACACTGACTTTCAGCTCCCTCCAAAGATGTTCTATTGGGTTCAGGTCTGGAGACTGGCTAGGCCACTCCAGGACCTTGAGATGCTTCTTACGGCGCCACTCCTTAGTTGCCCTGGCTGTGTGTTTCGGGTCGTTGTCAGGCTGGAAGACCCAGCCACGACCCATCTTCAATGCTCTTACTGAGGGAAGGAGGTTGTTGGCCAAGATCTCGCGATACATGGCCCCATCCATCCTCCCCTCAATACGGTGCAGTCGTCCTGTCCCCTTTGCAGAAAAGCATCCCCAAAGAATGATGTTTCCACCTCCATGCTTCACGGTTGGGATGGTGTTCTTGGGGTTGTACTCATCCTTCTTCTTCCTCCAAACACGGCGAGTGGAGTTTAGACCAAAAAGCTCTATTTTTGTCTCATCAGACCACATGACCTTCTCCCATTCCTCCTCTGGATCATCCAGATGGTCATTGGCAAATTTCAGACGGGCCTGGACATGCGCTGGCTTGAGCAGGGGGACCTTGCGTGCGCTGCAGGATTTTAATCCATGACGGCGTAGTGTGTTACTAATGGTTTTCTTTGAGACTGTGGTCCCAGCTCTCTTCAGGTCATTGACCAGGTCCTGCCGTGTAGTTCTGGGCTGATCCCTCACCTTCCTCATGATCATTGATGCCCCACGAGGTGAGATCTTGCATGGAGCCCCAGACCGAGGGTGATTGACCGTCATCTTGAACTTCTTCCATTTTCTAATAATTGCGCCAACAGTTGTTGCCTTCTCACCAAGCTGCTTGCCTATTGTCCTGTAGCCCATCCCAGCCTTGTGCAGGTCTACAATTTTATCCCTGATGTCCTTACACAGCTCTCTGGTCTTGGCCATTGTGGAGAGGTTGGAGTCTGTTTGATTGAGTGTGTGGACAGGTGTCTTTTATACAGGTAACGAGTTCAAACAGGTGCAGTTAATACAGGTAATGAGCGGAGAACAGGAGGGCTTCTTAAAGAAAAACTAACAGGTCTGTGAGAGCCGAAATTCTTACTGGTTGGTAGGTGATCAAATACTTATGTCATGCAATAAAATGCAAATTAATTACTTAAAAATCATACAATGTGATTTTCTGGATTTTTGTTTTAGATTCCGTCTCTCACAGTTGAAGTGTACCTATGATAAAAATTACAGCGCTCTATATGCTTTGTAAGTAGGAAAACCTGCAAAATCGGCAGTGTATCAAATACTTGTTCTCCCCACTGTATATAGAATGTTAAACTCGTCTGGGAGGGAGGCTTCGGTGGGCACCAAACCGCTGGATTTACCTTTGTAGTCCGTGATAGTCTGTATTGTTTGCCACATACGTTGCGAGTCTGAATTGTCAAACATCAATTCAAGTTTGAGTCTGTATTGTCTTTTTGCATCCCTAATGGATTTGCGGAGCTCGTACCTGCTTGTCTTGTACACGTTGCACGCCACCGAGTCATCAGGGTTTGTTCTGCTGACATTGAATGCTGCAGTACGGGCTCTCAGCATGGTACGGATATCTCCATTCATCCAGGGTTTTTGGTTGGGGTCTGGATTGTTATTGTGGGTACAACATCATCAACACATTTCCTAATGAAGCCTGTGACTGACGATTTATATTCCTCAATGTTGATGGATGAGTCCTGGATGGATGAATCTTTGAACATATTCCAATCAGTATTCTCAAAACAGTCCTGCAGCATTGAGTCTACCTCCTCTATCCAGCACCTCACTCTTATCTGTGTTGGTGGCTCCCTCCCTTCCCCTTATAATAACATTCAGAGCACCCTAAAGTTGCAGTCAATATACCGCTTCATAATACTCTGCAGCTACATCAGTAAAGTGGTATGAACATGATAATAAGGCATTATAACACATCATACCAAGCCGCTTCAAGCTTTTTAATGAGGAGCTGTTCTGATGCTGGATCCTCTATAACCAGCAGAGGGCAGTGATACCCAGGGCCTCTGAGTCAAAGCCACTGAGCTTACAGACTTCATTGGTCATAGCCCTCACTGACTGACTGAGAGAATGCAGGATGGCAACAGAAGGCTATAAAAACACACCAGCAAAACCTCCTCATGTGTTGATATGCCTCCACCATCCACCCTGCATCCCTTTATGGCACTTTGTCAAATCAAATGAAATTGTATTGGCCACACGCGCCGAATACAGCAGGTGTAGACATTACTGTGAAATGCTTACTTACAGCCCTTAACCAACAATGCATTTATTTGTAATAAAAAAGTAAAATAAAACAACAACAACAACAAAGTGTTGAGAAAAAAAGAGCAGAAGTAAAATAAAATAACAGTAAGGAGGCTATATACAGGGGGGTACCGGTGCAGAGTCAATGTGCGGGGGCACCGGCTAGTTGAGGTAGTTGAGGTAATACGTACATGTGGGTAGAGTTAAAGTGACTATGCATAAATAATTAACAGAGTAGCAGCAGTGTAAAAATATGGTCTGGGAGTGGGGGGGCAGTACAAATAGTCTGTGTAGCCATGATTAGCTGCTCAGGAGTTTTATGGCTTGGGGGTAGAAGCTGTTGAGAAGCCTTTTGGACCTAGACTTGGCGCTCCGGTACCTCTTGCCGTGCGGTAGCAGAGAGAACAGTCTATGACTAGGGTGGCTGGAGTCTTTGACAATTTTGAGGGCCTTCCTCTGACACCGCCTGGATGGCAGGAAGCTTGGCCCCAGTGATGTACTGGGCCGTACGCACTACCCTCTGTAGTGCCTTGCGGTCGGAGGCCGAGCAGTTGCCATACCAGGCGGTGATGCAACCAGTCAGGATGCTCTCGATGGTGCAGCTGTATAACTTTTTGAGGATCTGAGGACCCATGCCAAATCCTTTCAGTGTTCTGAGGGGGAATAGGCTTTGTCGTGCCCTCTTCACGACTGTCTTGGTGTGTTTGGACTATGATAGTTCGTTAGTGATGTGGACACCAAGGAACTTGAAGCTCTCAACCTGTTCCACTACAGCCCCGTCGATGAGAATGGGGGCGTGCTCAGTCCTCTTCTTTTTCCTGTAGTCCACAATCATCTCCTTTGTCTTTGTCACATTGAGGGAGAGGTTGTTATCCTGGCACCACACGGACCTCCCTATAGACTGTCTCATCATTGTCGGTGATCAGGCCTACCACTGTTGTGTCGTCGGCAAACTTAATGATGGTGTTGGAGTCGTGCCTGGCCATGCAGTCATGGGTGAACAGGGAGTACAGGAGGGGACTGAGCACGCACCCCTGAGGGGCCCCCGTCTTGAGGATCAGCGTGGCAGATGTGATGTTGCCTACCCTTACCACCCGGGGGCGTCCCGTCAGGAAGTCCAGGATCCAGTTGCAGAGGGAGGTGTTTAGTCCCAGGATCCTTAGCTTAGTGATGAGCTTTCAGGGCACTATGGTGTTGAACGCTGAGCTGTAGTCAATGAATAGCATTCTCACGTAGGTGTTCCTCTTGTCCAGGTGGGAAAGGGCAGTGTGGAGTGCAATAGAGATTGCATCATCTGTGGATCTGTTGGGGCGGTATGCAAATTGGAGTGGGTCTAGGGTTTCTGGGATAATGGTGTTGATGTGAGCCATGACCAGCCTTTCAAAGCACTTCATGGCTACAGACGTCAGAGCCAAGGGTCGGTGGTCATTTAGGCAGGTTATCTTAGTGTCCTTGGGCACGGGGACTATGGTGGTCTGCTTGAAACATGTTGCTATTACAGACTCAGTCAGGGACATGTTGAAAATGTCGGTGAAGACACTTGCCAGTTGGTCAGCACATGCTCGGAGTACACGTCCTGGTAATCCGTCTGGCCCTGCGGCCTTGTGAATGTTAACCTCTTAAAAGTCTTACTCACATCGGCTACGGAGAGCGTGATCACATAGTCATCGGAACAGCTGGTGCTCTCATGCATGCTTCAGTGTTGCTTGTCTCGAAGCGAGCATAGAAGTGGTATAGCTGGTCTGGTAGGCTTGTGTCACTGGGCAGCTCGCGGCTGTGCTTCCCTTTGTAGTCTGTAATAGTTTGCAAGCCCTGCCACATCCGACGAGCATTAGAGCCGGTGTAGTACGATTCAATCTTAGTCCTGTATTGACTCTTTGCCTGTTTGATGGTTCGTCGGAGGGCATAGCAGGATTTCTTATAAGCGTCCGGGTTAGAGTCCCGCTCCTTGAAAGCGGCAGCTCTACCCTTTAGCTCAGTGCGGATGTTGCCTGTAATCCATGGCTTCGGGTTGGGGTATGTACGTACGGTCACTGTGGGGACGACGTCATCGATACACTTATTGATGAAGCCAGTGACTGATGTGGTGTACTCCTCAATGCTATCTGAAGAATCCCGGAACATGTTCCAGTCTGTGCTAGCAAAACAGTCCTGTAGCTTAGCATCTGCGTCATCTGACCACTTTTCTATTAACCGAGTCACTGGTGCTTCCTGCTTTAGTTTTTGTTTGTAAGCAGGAATCAGGAGGATAGAGTTATGGTCAGATTTGCCAAATGGAGGGCGAGGGAGAGCTTTGTATGCGTCTCTGTGCGTGGAGTAAAGGTGATCTAGAGTATTTTTTCCTCTGGTTGCACATTTAACATGCTGGTAGAAATTAGGTCGAACGGATTTGAGTTTCCCTGCATTAAAGTCCCCGGCCACTAGGAGCGCTGCCTCTGGATGAGCGTTTTCCTGTTTAGTTATGGCCTTCTACAGCTCATTGAGTGCAATCTTAATACCAGCATTGGTTTGTGGTGGTGAATAGACAGCTATGAAAAATATAGACGAAAACTCTCTTGGTAAATAGTGTGGTCTACAGCTTATCATAAGATACTCTACCTCAGGCGAGCAAAACCTTGAGACTTCCTTAGTATTCGATTTTGTGCACCAGCTGTTGTTTACAAATATACACAGACCACCACCCCTTGTCTTACCGGAGTCAGCCGTTCTATCCTGCCGATGTAGCGTATAGCCCGCTAGCTGTATGTTGTCCATGTCGTCGTTCAGCCACGACTCGGTGAAACATAAGATATTACAGTTTTTAATGTCCCGTTGGTAGGATAACCGTACTCTTGGGTCATCAAATGTATTTTCCATTGATTGAAGATTGGCTAATAGGATTGATGGAAGAGGCAGTTTACTCGCTCGCCGTCGGATCCTTACGAGGCACCCCGACCTACGTCCACGATATCTCCGTCTCTTTCTCCTGCGAATGACAGGGATTTGGGCCTTGTCGGGTGTCTGTAGGATATCCTTCACGTCTGACTCGTTGAATAAAAAATATTTGAGTAATCGCTGTCCTGATATCCAGAAGTTCTTTTTGGTTATAAGAGACGATGGCAGAAACATTATGTACAGAATAAATGACAAATAACGCAAAAAAACACACATAATAGTACAATTGGTTAGAGGGCTGTAAAACGGCAGCCATCTTCTCCGGCGCCACTACTATACTAGAGTAACAAACCTAATGACATAGAGAAGTCATAACAAACACTGAGAGCCCATGGAGAGGCAGAGCTACCAATGTAGCACATACTCCAAAATACTAGCTCCTTGCTGTTAGTAGATATTTGAACAATACTTCAGTAAATAGAGTAAGGTGAACTGTATTATATCTGCTCTCTTATTGGTCCCCAGGAGACCTGTATGCAGCGATTGGTTACAACAATTACCAATTCAACTATTGTGATTGGATATCTATAGCAGTTGACCTATATCTTGCTCTATGATTAGTTGATTGGTGCCTTACCCCAGGTGGACGGTGCGGATGTGTCGCTGGATCCCTGAAGAGGTGCTGAGGACCTTTTCACAGTTCTTCCACAAGCACTTGAGCATCACCTTTATAGAGTTCTGAAACACAACAGAACACACAACACAGTGGAGACAGTGCTATTGTAGCAACCAAGGGGGAAGAGCAAGAGTGGGGCTTGAACCAACAACCCTGTGGTTATGGGGTGAGCGCACTGCAACCTGTGAGAAAAACGTTCAGATCTCTGAGCAGAGGATGTGCTCCACTTACATACAGGGAGGCTACACGTATTCTACTGTGTAAAAAAGAAAACAAGACCATTAGACCATTACACAGCCTATGAGACAAGCAGGCCTGTGAACATAGAAACCTGAGAGAAGACAGGTTAGCAAGACACACACACACACACAGGTGAAACTTTACACCGCTCTCTCTCTCTGCTCTATATTGACAGAAGCATAGTGTCATAAAAAAAAAAAAATTGGGATGGCCAAGGGCAAGAAAGTTACCCTAATATTCACATGGTCATAATCTCTACAGTCTGCACAGCAAATTTGAGATCAGAATTTTAACACCCACAGTGTCACATTTAACACTTATTTAGTGTGTACTGTATATGTAAGTCACCAAAATAATGTTAAACAATTTATTTTGAAAGTGTTGATAATGTAATACCGCAAGAGTCTTGGTCCCTAAAACCATGGGTGTTGCAAATTCCAACTTAAATTAACACTTTATTTATTAACACTTTATTAGAGTGTTATTAGAGATGCTGTTACACTTTCTCAGTGTTAGGGAATTAACACCTGTGGCGTTACAGTAACTCATTTTTGGGTGTTGTTTTAACACTATTTCCCTGGGTGCCTTTCCAGTGAATTTTAGAGGTACCTGTACCACCTATGATTGTTGCATTCGATGACTTTCAGTCCTGTAGCCTTCTGTCACGTCTACTCCTGCTCCCCCTCTCCGACGCTCAACGGTCTACTAACCACCGGTCCTGGCAACACATCTTTACGCACACCTGCGTCTCATCATCAGTCACACCTGGTCTTCATTACTCCCTGATTACTTACCCTTTATCTAGCATTCTTTTGTTATCAGTTATCAGGCAGTATTGGTTATGTTTCCTTGTCAGACGTTTCGCTTGTTTTGTATCGGTCTATGTTCGTTCATTTTAAACTCACTAACTGCACCTGCTTCTTGACTCCCTGCCTCAACGTTACAGAATACTGCCTCACCAAATGGAAGCAGCAGTTAATCAGGACATCTCTCTGATGGTCAGTGAACAGGGACATCTACTTCGCCAACACCACGACAAGCTGGCACAACTGGGGACGGCTATGGATGAGGTCATCCGCGTTCTTCAATGTCTCAACATTTCCCGAGGGGCGTCACCTCCAACAAGCGGAGGATTCTCTACCACAAGTCGAGCCAGCACCCCAGCCCATCCAACAGTCTGCCCAGGTCAGCGATGCCCATTTGTCCCTACTGGACAAATATGACTGGTCTCCCTCCAAATGCCGTGGCTTCCTACTCCAGTGCTCCCTCTATTTCACTCATCAGATGGGAGCCCCCACCACGGAGAGGTTCAAGGTTGCCACGGTTATTTCCCTGCTGACCGGACGGGCGTTGGAGTGGGCTACAGCTGTCTGGGAGAGAGGAGAGGAGGAGCTGGGTTCCTATGAGGGGTTCATGGCTCTGTTCAGGGCGGTCTTCGACCATCCACCGGAGGGCAGAGAGGGGGGTGAGCGCCTACTCCAACTACGGCAGGATGGCCAGACCATGTCGGAGTATGCGCTCACCTTTCGGTCAGTGGCAGCATCCAGCGGATGGAATGAACCGGCGCTCTGCACCCTATTCAGAAGAGGATTGCGCGAAGAGGTCCAGACGGAGTCACACTCCTGCTCTGTCCCTATTGCGGCCAGGAGGGGCACCAACTTCAAAGGTGTCCGGTACATCCCAACCCGGAATCCACAAGAGCAGAGGGACGGCCCTGTGATCATCCGTCTCCTGGGTTAGGCGTGAGTACACCATCATCACTTTCCGCCAAACCTTTTTTACTAGCTGGCTGTCCCTCATCTATTGTTTCTACAGCTCTAGTGGATTCCGGTGTGGCAGGGAATTTTATTGACCAGGCCCTTGCCTCCTCCCTGCAAATCACCTCATACCCGCTCTCCTTTCCGTTTCTGGTCCAAGCATTGGATACGCGACCATTGGGATCCGGCACTATTATGCACGTCACAGCTCCACTCACCCTCACCGTGAGACCCAAGCACCAGGAAAATATTTCCTTCCTCATCAGCTCCGCACTGGTGCACAAAGTCATCCTTGGCCTCCCATGGCTCCAACTCCATAATCCCACCATCTCCTGGTCAGAGGAGGATTACCGCCTGGGACCAGGATGTCGGAGGACCTGCTTTCCCGCACCCTGTGGTTCCACGTCGGTGGAGGGCCCTGTGAGTGTCCGCCAGCCCATCAATCAGTCCTCCCGTATCATTGGCCCCGTATTTTGGGACGTAGATGTGGACATCCGCCAGGCTCTGGAGAGGGAACCCGCTCCTGCCACCTTCCCTCCGGAGCGCATCCATGTCCCCACGGGGGTCAGAGATTGGTTGCTGACCTGGGCACACATATCCCTCGCTGCTGGACACCCAAGTATCACCAGCACCACTCAATTCCTTTCTGAGAAATACTGATGGCCCACTTTGGCGCATGACGTTGCACACAATGTCAACTCATGTTCAGTATGTACTCAATCAAAATCTCCCCGGCACGCTCCAGCAGGAAAACTCCTTCCCATCTGTCCATTGATTTTGTCACTAATCTCCCCTCCTCTGATGGTTTCACCACCATTTTGGTTGTTGTGGACAGATTCTCAAAATCATGCCGTTTCATCCCTCTCTCTGGTCTCCCTACCGTTCGCAGGTCGCTGAGACACTGTTCCAGCAGGTCTTCCGGAACTATGGCCTTCCGGAGGATATCGTCTCCGATCGTGGCCAATTAACATCACATGTATGGAAGGCTTTCATGGAGAAGCTGGGGGTCACGGTCAGCCTCACCTCCGGGTACCGGTCTCAATCTAACGGGCAGGTGGAGAGGATGAACCAGGAGCTGGGGAGGTTCCTGAGGAGTCACTGCCAGGACCAGCAGAGGGAGTGGGCCCGGAATCATTTGCAACACTCCTCCACCGGGCTGACTCCCTTCCAGTGTGTTCTGGGTTATCAGCCGGCCCTGGCTCCATGGACTCCGAGCCAGACCGAAACTCCTGCGGTGGACGAGTGGTTCAGACGCGCAGAAGAGGTTTGGAACGATGCCCACGTGAGACTCCAGCACGCCATCTGCCATCAGAAAGAGCAGGCGGATCGCCACCGCAGTGAGGCTCCAGTGTTCCATCCTGGTGATCGTGTCTGGCTCTCCACCAGGAACCTTCCGCTCCGCCTGCCCTGTAAGAAGCTGATCCCCAGTTTGTGGGGCCGTTCAAACTCCTCCGGAGGGTCAATTAGGTAATTTAAAGATTACAACTCCCCACTAACTATCGGATCTCACCATCATTTCATGTTTCCCTCCTCAGGCCGGTGGTTCCTGGTCCCCTTGCTGATGCCGTCCCCCACAACACCCCTTCGCCTCCCTTGGACATCGAGTGGAGCCCCGCCTATGCCGTCAGATCACTGTACCTGGTGGACAGGGAGGGGTACGGTCCAGAGGAGCGGTGCTGGGTCCCGGTGGACGACATTCTAGATCCCAACATCATCCGAGAATTCTACCTTCACCGCTTTCCCAGAGGGTCAGACGTTTACATACACTCAATTAGTATTTGGTAGCATTGCCTTTAAATTGTTTAACTTGGGTTAAACATTTCAGGTAGCCTTCCACAAGCTTCCCACAATAAGTTGGGTAAATTTTGGCCCATTCCTCCTGACAGAGCTGGTGTAATTGAGTCAGGTTTGTAGGCCTCCTTGCTCGCACACGCTTTTTCAGTTCTGCCCACAAATGTTCTATAGGATTGAGGTCAGGGCTTTGTGATGGCCACTCCAATACCTTGACTTTGTTGTCATTAAGCCATTTTGCCACAACTTTTGAAGTATGCTTGGGGTCATTGTCCATTTGGAAGACCCATTTGCGACCAAGCTCTAACTTCCTGACTGATGTCTTGAGATGTTGCTTCAATATATCCACATATTTTTCCTTCCTCATGATGCCATCTATTTTGTGAAGTGCACCAGACCCTCCTGCAGCAAAGCACCCCCACAGCATGATGCTGCCACCCCCGTGCTTCACGGTTGGGATGATGTTCTTCGGCTTGCAAGATACCCCCTTTTTCCTCCAAACTTAACAATGGTTAAGTTTATGGCCAAACAGTTATATTTTTGTTTCATCAGACCAGAGGACATTTCTCCAAAAAGTACGATCTTTGTCCCCATGTGCAGTTGCAAACCGTAGTCTGGCTTTTTTATGGCGGTTTTGGAGCAGTGGCTTCTTCCTTGCTGAGCAACCTTTCAGTTTATGTCGATATAGGACTCATTTTACTGTGGATATAGATACTTTTGTACCGTTTTCCTCCAGCATCTTCACAAGGTCCTTTGCTGTTGTTCTGGGATTGATTTGCACTTTTCGCACCAAAGTACGTTCATATCTAGTAGACAGAAAGCGTCTCCTTCCTGAGCGGTATGATGGCTGCGTGGTCCCATGGTGTTTATACTTGCGTACTATTGTTTGTACAGATGAACGTGGTACCTTCAGGCATTTGGAAATTGCTCCCAAGGATGAACCAGACTTGTGGAGGTCTACAATTGTTTTTCTGAGGTCTTGGCTGATTTCTTTTGATTTTCCCATGATGTCAAGCAAAGAGGCACTGAGTTTGAAGGTAGGCCTTAAAATACATCCACAGGTACACCTCCAATTGACTCAAATTATTGTCAATTAGCCTATCAGAAGCTTCTAAAGCCATGATATCATTTCTGGAATTTTCCAAGCTGTTTAAAGGCACAGTCAGCTTAGTGTATGTAAACTTCTGACCCACTGGAATTGTGATACTGTGAATTATAAGTGAAATAATCTGTAAACAATTGTTGGAAAAATTACTTGTGTCATGCACAAAGTAGATGTCCTAACCGACTTGCCAAAACTATAGTTTGTTAACAAGAAATTTGTGGAGTGGTTGAAAAATGAGTTTTAATGACTCCAACCTAAGTGTATGTAAACTTCCGACTTCAACTGTACAAATATGGACAAGCAATGACAGAGCGGCATGGACTAAGATACAGTAGAATAGTATAGAATACAGTATATACATATGAGATGAGTAGTGCAAGATATGTAAACATTATTAATGTGGCTAGGGTTCCATTTCTTAAAGTGGCCAGTGATTTCAATAGGCAGCAGCAGCCTCTAATGTGCTAGTGATGGCTATTTAACAGTCTGATGGCCTTGAGATAGAAGCTGTTTTCCATTCTCTCGGTCCCAGCTTTGACACCGCCTGGTATAGAGGTCCTGGATGGCAGGAAGGTTGGTCCCAGTGATGTACTGGGCCGTATGCACTACCCTCTGTAGCGCCTTGCGGTCGGAGGCCTAGCAGTTGCCATACCAGGCGGTGATGCAACCAGTCAGGATGCTCTCGATTGTGCAGCTGTATAACTTTTTGAGGATCTGAGGACCCATGCCAAATCTTTTCAGTCTCCTGAGGGGGAATAGGCGTTGTCGTGCTCTCTTCATGACTGTCTTGGTGTGTTTGGCCCATGATAGTTTGTTGGTGATGTGGACACCAAGGAACTTGAAGCTCTCAACCTGCTCCACTACAGCCCTGTAGATAATAATAATAATATGCCATTTAGCAGACGCTTTTATCCAAAGCGACTTACAGTCATGCGTGCATACATTTTTGTGTATGGGTGGTCCCGGGGATCGAACCCACTACCTTGGCGTTACAAGCGCCGTGCTCTACCAGCTGAGCTACAGAGGACCACAATGAGAATGGGGGCGTGCTCGGCCCTCCTTTTCCTGTATTCCACGATCATCTCCTTTGTATTGATCACGTTGAGTGAGAGGTTGTTGTCCTGGCACTACTGACATGCGCGCGCACACACACTGACGTTCAACCTCTCAACAACAAAAGGCTATTATTTAGAAAGCTGTTATCCTCCTCAAATCTAGAAGAAAATAATTTTTTTCCTCACATGCTGGTTTAAAAACCAGCAATAGTGGACAGAACACAAATTGGGTTATTTTTTAACCAGCCAGTTGGGTCACTTAGTTGGGTTATTGAGCTATGATCCACTCAGTCAGATCGGAAGACTGGAGGCATGGCTTAGTAGGGGTGTGCCAATCTGAAAGCTACTTCCCCAATAGACCACACCTCCTGAAAAGAACCTATGGATTTCATAAAAAAATACCCATCTGCTGGGTCAACCCAACATGAAATTGAATAAAAACACAACTGAAGGTTAAATTAACCCATGTTTGGGTAATCCAAAGGCATGTCGTATTGGCAGTGTGGCTTTCAGATGGCTTTTTTTTCCCACCCATGACAGTACATTTCATTCATGTTAAGTTTGTACACTGCAAATTTCAATTTTCCTTCACTATTTTTGCACATTACATATTTTAATCTAACATTTATAACATTATTTAAATATAACAAACTGGTAACTATACCAACATTGGGATATGCATAGGCACTTAAGGAACTCATACGCTTGTGTAAATCTTATTAAAGCTACAAAAGTGTCAGTGCTCAACCATCACAAGTGTTGACAACACAACAGAACAGATTAACCGGAATGACATTTGCTCTCACGGGTCACCAAAAATAACTATCGGAAAGCCCGCACCTACTAAGCCACACCTCCAGTCTCCCAGTGTATCATAGCTCAATAACCCAGTATCAACAACCCAACTTAAAGAAAACAATGGGTTGTTTGTGACCCAACTGGCTGGGTCAAAATAACCCAACGTGTTCTGTCCAATATTTACCAAGCATTTTTTAGACTGCAGAATCTAAAAACATAGACAGAGCTATGTTTTTTCAGACTTATTTTCCCAGGCAGCGTGCAGATCTCAGAGGTAGGCAGTGGAGGGAGAGATGTGTTGGGACCTGCATCAGTACTAATGACAGGTTAGTGGGCGTTGGCTCTCTACCTATCAACAGCTTCCAGAAAGGGAGGGAAAGAGGGAGGGGAGAAAGAGCGACTTTAAAATACAAACTATAGAACAGGTTTATCAGCGGCTGATCAATTTAACCCTTTTAACAGTCTATATTCTTATGCAATCCCTTATTCTTTGCAGTGAAGATATCACATGCACTGTGAAACATACTGTATGAAACACACCCAAAGGTAAATCTGCAGCGTCTCAACAAACAATCACAAATAATGCCCAAAGTGTTTTTCTTCCATCTTAACATTATTACAGCAATACTCGGGTGATTAACACAGTTCCTAAGCCTCTTATAGTACACTACTCTACACAGTCAGATACACTGCAGCTACTCTACTGTATACCCAGACTTACTGCTGCCTGCCATTCAGGACTTAGCTAGGCCTCTGGTCTTGGCCTACTACACTGAACCACCACAGTAAACTAACTGCCTGTTAGGTTTGCCCAGGGCAGGTTTATATACAAGTCATCCAAACTGTAATTACTTTATCTATTGCATGCATGTCAGTGCAAGCCTTATTGAGATGGCCTCCCAAGGCTTTGCATACTGTTGATTTAATATTTACTGTGTGTCTAGCATTGTCTAATGTTATGTCACATCTTAACAAGCGAGGTTTGGCTGAAGAATGGACGTGAAACATGAAAATACATTATATTTGATGGATGACTTGACTAATAGAGCACAGTCTTTTGGTACTGTAACACAGCTTAATCATAATTCAGTTCAAGTGCTTAGTGATGGGAATGCTACATTGTGTTTGTCATATTCTGGTGAAGCTAGTCAGTGAGTGTAGTCCAATCTAGAATATTTTCATTCACTATCACTTTTTCTTCATTTCCTTTCAGGATATTGTCTTTCTATAGCCTGGCCTGCTGCATGCTGTATGATCTTATGTGTTCCAGCCGACATGGTCTCTGTTACCTCTGGGATAGGCCTACAGGCCAGTGAGTTGGACCTACACACTCATATCTGAGCCCCCTCCAGTCTCTGAGATATTCTTCTCTCCCTCTCAGCTTGCTGCAGATGAAGCCTCACACTCCCCCCTTTTACTCCTCTCCTACTTCACCTTACAAACTCTCTCTTCACTCCCCTCTCCTCCCACATCCCAAAACTAATTTTACTCCTTCCTCATCCCTAATCTGTTTTTACAAACTCTCCTCCCCCTCCTAACTCTCTTTTTACACACCTCCTCCTTCCTCCCCGTCCTAACTCCCACCTCTTCCTCTTGGAGATGAGTGAGGGGGCTTATGGCTCTTCTTGATAATGAAACCACATTTATGTCTTGGAAGGTTTCCACTGTATGAAAAGACAGGGGAAGAAAAAAAGAGAGAGAGGAAAAGAGAGAGCGAGAACACACTCCATCACGCTCAGAGGCGTATAGGTTGACAGACCTTGTTGTCTCAGGGCCAAGTCAGTGTCATAAGATCCTAAATTACATTAGCACTGTGTTTTGAGATAATTTTCCAGAGGGGTTTCAGAGGCCCCCTTGAATTAGCAAAACGACACTCTAGGGCAGCGATTCCTAAATTGATGGGAGCCACTTTTGGCCCATGGCCAATTTCTAATGAGTCGCAGCTTAGGGTTGGTTGTGGCTACAAATACTGTTCTCATCTGAAGGATCACAAGAAACAAGTAACTGGACTGGATAAATCAAATAGCTGTGATCTATGAACTCCTTGGACATAAGTATAGAAGGATGTTCAGTAGCATTAGGATGAAGCCTCATCCTAAGCCCCTGACCCCCAGTTGTACCTTCCGCTTCCGGGGTATGGGGTCCTCAAACAAGAAGTGCGTGCTCTCTTTGACGTCGTCGATGACATTATCACCCTGGGAGGAGAGCAGGAAGCTCTTGCTGGCATCGTTGGAGAGAGGCGGGGACGGTGTGGAGGGCACTGATTGGTCGCTGGTGTCCCAGCTCCAGTTGCCACTGGTGGAGCTGCTGTAGCTAGTTGACAGCACCTCCTTCCACCCTCTGCTGGCTGGCTCCGGAACTGCAGTTGGAGACAGATGATGGCCAGTCAGTACCATCAAAACCAGGGAGGCATTAATTCACTTTATAGCTTTAATTAACTTCTTTACTTCATACTCTAGAATCATTTTTATACAATGTTTTTTGGCAACATTGTTAATGCAACATTTGAATGGAGGTTTATATTGAACGTCCATCCATCCATAGGAAAACAGCCTCACTCTCCAGCAGCGTTGGCCAACAAACCCCTCCACTGCAATATGGTATTTTGACCGCTTCACTAATACAGATCCTTATACAGATCCTATAACAAGGCCATAATCACATTGCCTTATAGTGAAACACAATGAAAAACAAGAGGTAAAGCCTTCCAAGCAGGATGAGCTGTGTGTTGGAGATTAACTCATATTAATCAATAACTGACTGGTCCATGGAGGCTAGTGTAGATGAGGAGGATCCTACAGAGAATAGAGACACAGGAGTTCACATAGTTCTATATGTTGTCTCAGGGGAGACTAACCCCATAACCCCTGAAGAGATGTATTCAGCACATGACACTAGGGGGAAGAAAATACGATATTGGAGGTAAACAGGTACATTTTACATTCACATTTTAGTCATTTAGCAGATGCTCTTATCCAGAGCGACTTACATGAGCAATTAGGGTTAAGTGCCTTGCTTAAGGGCACAGACAGATTTTTCACCTAGTTGGCTTAGGGATTAGAACCAGCGACCTTTCGGTTACTGGCACAACGCTCTTACCCACTAAGCACATTTCAATCATGTATGAAAAGAGTATGATGACATTTCTGATTAATTATGAAACATGAATACATATTTGCCCTCTCTCCCCACATATTGTACAGTACACCCCCATCCCCTAATATTTTGTGGATTTACCCATTTTAATAAATAACTGAAATAAACTGTGGAGATGGGGCCAAGAGGGGTTAAATATATACCGTCGATTTATGGAAGGGGGAAGAAAACTCACACAATGTTAATGACCCAGCCACACATAACCCTAATGTGTGTTTCAGTACAGTGGCTAGTTACCAGCCCTCATCTCCTCACCCCAGAGTTGTGACCAGAACAATAATAAACATCAGGGGAAAACGGATGTTGATTTAGTGGTACAGTAGGTTTATAGGGTTGCTTGCCAGTCGCTCCAAGTAAATACATTTTGAAAATGTTACAAAACTATGCATTATTAATAGCTAGCTAGCTAGCTAGGAAGCGGGCTACAGCAGGCCACTGTGTGTAGGCTAATGAGCATTTGTAGATAACAGCAATGGAAGAGGGTGAAATTATTTACTGATCCAGCTGTCAGAAAAGGGAGAGAGTAGGTGAACTAGTGGGGCAGGTAATTTGTGGGAGGACATTATTACATTTGACATTTTAGTCATTTCGCAGACGCTCTGGACTTACATTATGAAACGATTATCCAGATCTAATCCCTAGAGAGGAAAACTATGAAGACTGTAATAATACGGAGCCTATTTCTTTCTTTCTCTGTCCTCAGATATAGATCACTGTGAAAGCCTGTCTGCATACTTCAGAAAGTATTCACACACCTTTACTTATTCCACATTTTGTTGTGTTACAGCCTGAATTTAAAATGGATTAAATTGAGATTTGTTTGTCACTGGCTTACACACAATACCACATAACGTCAAAGTGGAATTATGTTTTTAGAAATGTTTACAAATTAAATTAAAAATTAAAAGCTGAAATGTCTTCAGTCAATAAGTATTTAACCCCTTTGTCATGGAAAGCCTAAATGTCCCATAATAACTTGCATGGACTCAGTCTGTGTGCAATAATAGTGTTTAACATGATTTTTGAATGACTACCTCATCTCTGTACCCCACACATACAATTATCTGTAAGGTCCCTCAGTCGAGCAGTGAATTTCAAACACAGATTCAACCACAAAGACCAGGGAGGTTTTCCAATGCCTCGCAAAGAAGGGCACCTATTGGTAGATGGGTAAAAACACAAAAAGCAGACATTGAATATCCCTTTGAGCATGGTGAAGTTATTAATTACACTTTGGACCGGAAGTCCCATGGGACGGCTCACAATTGGCCCAGCATAGTCCGGGTTAGGGGAGGGTTTGGCCGGGGGGATTTCCTTGGCTCATCGTGCTCTAGCAACGCCTTATGACGGGCAGGGTGTCTGCAAGATGACTCCGGTCGTCAGTTGGACGATGTTTCCTCCAACACATTGGTGTGGCTGGCTTCCAGGTTAAGCGATCAGTGTGTTAAGAAGCAGCGCGGCTTGGCAGGTCATGTTTTGGAAGATGCATGTCTCTCGACCTTCGCCTCTCCCAAGTCCGTTAGGGAGTTGCAGCAATGAGAAAAAACCGTAACTACCAATTGGATATCACGAAATGGGGGTAAAAAAACAGTTACTGAGTTTAATGGCTGTGATAGGAAAAAACTGAGGATGGATCAAAAACATTGTAGTTAGTCCACAATACTAACCTAATTGACAGAGTGAAAAGAAGGAAGCCAGTACAGAATACAAATATCCTGTTTGCAACAAGGCACTAAAGGTATAGTGCAAAAAATGTTTTTGGGGCTACTCCAATACAACACATTACTGAGTACCACTCTCCATATTTTCAAGCATAGTGGTGGCAGCATCATGTTATGGGTTTGCTTGTAATCGTTAAGGACTAGGGAGTTTTTCAGGATAAAAAAATTTACGGAATGGAGCTACATTTACATTTACATTAACGTCATTTAGCAGACGCTCTTATCCAGAGCGACTTACAAATTGGTGCATTCACCTTATAGCCAGTGGGATAACCATTTTACAATATGTTTTTTTTTTTTTTTTTTTTCTTTCTTTGGGGTGGGGTAAGAGGGGGTAGGAGGATTACTTTATCCTATCCCAGGTATTCCTTAAAGAGGTGGGGTTTCAAGTGTCTCCGGAAGGTGGTGAGTGACTCCGCTGTCCTGGCGTCGTGAGGGAGCTTGTTCCACCATTGGGGTGCCAGAGCAGCGAACAGTTTTGACTGGGCTTAGCGGGAACTGTGCTTCCGCAGAGGTAGGGGGGCCAGCAGGCCAGAGGTGGATGAACGCAATGCCCTCGTTTGGGTGTAGGGACTGATCAGAGCCTGAAGGTACGGAGGTGTCGTTCCCCTCACAGCTCCGTAGGCAAGCACCATGGTCTTGTAGCAGATGCAAGATTCAACTAAGCACTGGCAAAATCCTAGAGGAATACTTGGTTCAGTCTGCTTTCCACCAGACACTGGGAGAAGAATGTACCTTTCAGCAGGACAATAACCTAAAACACAAGGCCAAATCTACACTGGAGTTGCTTACCAAGAAGACAGTGAGTTGCAGTTTTGACTTAAATCTGCTTCAAAATCTATAGCAAGACCTGAAAATGGTTGTCTAGCAATGATCAACAACCAATTTGACAGAGCTTGAAGAATTTTTGTAATAATAATGGGCAAATGTTGCACAATCCAGGTGTGGAAAGCTCTTACAGACTTACCCAGAAAGACTCACAGCTGTAATCCCTGCCAAAGGTGATTCTAACATGTATTGACTCAGGGGTGTGAATAGTTAAGTAAATTCGATATTTCTGTATTTCTTTTTCAATAAAACATAATTTTTTCCTAAAGATATGTTTTCACTTTGTCATTCTCAACTGAACATGACCTTTTTGTCCAGTTGTGAGCTCTCCAATCTATTCTATTTGATTGTCACTCTTTCTCAGCATATCACCATGTGAACCCATTTTGCAGCTTATCACCATGGCATGCATCACCAATCTAGCCAGTATGATGGCATTACTGGCCTAATGGGCATGTGCAATGCGCCCCTTGTCATTGTACATCTGAAGCAGATAATAGCTAAGCTCATACATTGTTTGCATATTATTGAACTCTTAGAAAAAAGGGTTCCAAACGGGTTATTTGCGGAGGTATAGGGTTCTACTAAGAACCGTTTTGATCTGAAGAACCCTTTTTGGAAGACAGGGGCTCTTTGTAAGGCAAAGGGTTCAACCTAGAACCTGTAGCCCTTTCCTGCAGTTAAATTACCTAGCCAGTATGAAAATGTATGCACTCACTAACTGTAAGTCGCTCTGGATAAGAGCGTCTGCTAAAATGACTCAAATGTAAATGTAAAATGTAGTGGCCGCGTGGGTGGAATGTTAGTCATATTTTTCATAATTTCATAATTTATAAACATTATTTCAAAAAAACTGCTGAAAATCCAGTTTCTTTGTCAAACAGTTTTGTTATAGTTCAGTCTTCTGTGATGTACAGTACCAGTCAAAAGTTTGGACACACCAACTCATTCAAGGGTTCTTTATTTTTACTATTTTCTACATTGTAGAATAATACTGAAGATGTCAAAACTATGAAATAACACATATGGAATCATGTAGTAACCCAAAAAGTTAAACAAATTAAAATATATTTTATATTTGAGATTCTTCAAAGTAGCCACCCTTTGCCTTGACGACAGCTTTGCACACTCTTGGCATTCTCTCAACTAGCTTCATGAGGAATGCTTTTCCAACAGTCTTGAAGGAGTTCCCACATATGCTGAGCACTTGTTGGCTGCTTTTCCTTCACTCTGCGGTCCAACTCATCCCAAACCATCTCAATTGGGTTGAGGTCGGGTGATTGTGGAGGCCAGGTCATCTGATGCAGCGCCATCACTCTCCTTCTTGGTCAAATGTCTCCGTGGAGCTGAGAGAAATGTTTGCAAGAAATGTTTGCAGTTTTAAAGCTAATTTCCTGAAATTGTATTCATTTTGCCATGGCTAATGCTGTGTTTTAACTATACTGCTAAATTAATTGTTTTGGGAATTTTCAATTCTCCCTGGCTGTCTAGCTTTTATTTCTGTCATTGTTGGTTCTCAAAGATCATATTATTTAAAAAATATATAGGTCCATTATCTTTTCTACATCCTTTATACAGGGCCTTCAGAAAGTATTCACACCCCTTGACTTATACCACATTTTGTTGTGTTACAGCCTGAATTCAAAATGGATAAATAGATTGTTTTTTCTCACCCATCTACACACAATACCCCATAATGACAAAGTGAAAACAAGTTTTTAGAAATTCTTGCAAATGTATTGAAAATGAAATACATAAATATCTAATTTACGCAAGTATTCACACCACAGAGTCAATATTTTGTAGAAGCATCTTTGGCAGCGATTACAGCTGTATTTCTCATTAAGTCTCTAAGAGCTTTCCACACCTGGATTGTGCAACATTTGCCCATTATTATTTAAACAATTCTTCAAGCTCTTTCAAAATGGTTGTTGATCATTGTTAGACAACCATTTTCAGTTCTGGCAATAGATTTTTAAGTAGATTTAAGTCAAAACTGCAACTCTGCCACTTAGGAACATTCACTGTCTTCTTGGTAAGAAACTCCAGCATAGATTTGGCATCGTGTTTTAGGTTACCGTCCTGCTGAAATAAAATAAAGCAACTCTCCAATGAGTGGAGTAGTGGTGGTGGTGCCAAAAAAACTGCAAAAGAAAAACACTTGCATCGAGGCTTAAAATAGAAGTCAGGACTCTGACCGTCTACTAACGTTGGCACGGCGATGAGTGCCATGGTAACGGGCAGCTCCGGAAACAACAGCCATGGCGATGTGTCCAATGCCAGGCTGTTGGCAGAGTGAGGTTGGTTGCGGGGTAAACATTAACTCTAGAGGTAGAAATTAGAGACTGGCACTACTGTTAGTGAGACCTGAACCTCTGTTTGTGTGTGCGTGTGCATGTGTGGTCTTACCTGAGGCTGTCTGGGTATGGGTGAGGACCAGAGGGGAGGTGGACAGTGATGTCAGGACGGTAGCAGCCATTACCTCCTTATCAGCATGACCTGAAGGTTTCCTGGAACACACACACCAGAGGCCAGGTCACACACTATGTACAAACAACAAACAGGCTATGGACATATTACGAACACACAACCAACATGCTATTACGGCATAGAAAGTGGAAGGTTTCTATATCAAATCAGCGGACCTGTAACAGTCATGCTACAATACAAGCATAGTAGCATAGTAAAATGGCCCATTGCCCACTATAGTTTCCTCACAATGAGATTTCCCTAATGAAGACTGGCCAATTGCTGTGTTTGCAATTGCAGACCACCCATTCACTGAGTCTGCCGCAGCCAAACTGACCAATCATGTGAGTCTGCCATAGGCAAACCGACCAATCATGTGTCTGCCAAAGCCAAACCTGGAAACCAGGAAAAAAAACAACCCTATCCCAATTCCGGCTCTGAAATATTCCAGCCATGCTTTCTTTAGACAGAACAACAAACTGTGTTAAAGCGTGTAATGGAAAATTCCAGTCCAATAATAAATACTGTGGTCACATCCCCTGCGAATGCTGAAAATTCTCCCTTAGCACAGAATGCTGACCAGACTGACGTTTGTATAAAGTTCAGATAAAGATAAGATAACCAGAACACTCCTTTGACAGAGCACTGTCACATGAGTCTAGCAGTGTTTCCAACAGGGTGGATAAAGGCTAAAGACACAGGCGGGTTCCGGCTAGTTGACTACTGGTATTGGTTTTATTTATTCATTGGTACATTGCTATTGGTTTCTCTAGCTGCCTGTGTGAATATTAGGGTCCTCTGATAGGTGAAAGCTGACAATGTTTAAGGCATATATTCTCGATGACATATTGCGTGCAGCTGAGAGTCAGGACGAACAGATTTCAGTTCAGTCAGTTCATTCAGTCGTCCTGATGAGCCCTTTCCAGTTATCTAAAATTAAACAAATTATGGGTTAAAACAACCCAATTTGGGTTTTTTGTTAACCCAGCGCTTAATAAATATTGGACAGAACATAGGCTGGGTTATTTTGACCCAGGCAGTTGGGCTGCGTGAATAACCCAACAAGTTGGACCGTTGGGATTACCCAAACATCAGTTGGTTATTTTTTACTCTCATGCTTGATTGATTTAGCAGCTGGATCTTTTTTAATGTAATCCTTAGGTTATTTCCAGGATCCATGGCTTTCAACTACATCTTATTGGCCACCCCTGAGAGTAAATGTAATTCCTGTTCATTATGTTAAGTTTACATACTGCAAATACATGTTTCAGCTTTTTACACATCTTCTATAATATTACGATTATTTATTACATACAGTGCATTCGGAAAGTATTCAGACCCCTTGACTTTTTCCACTTTGTTAAGTTACAGCCTTATTCTAAAACGCATTAAATAAAAAAAATTCCTCATCAATCTACACACAAAGCAAAAACAGGTTTCAATCAAATGTATAAAAAAATATACAAAAAATACCTTACTTACATAAGCATTCAGACCCTTTGCTACGAGACTCTAAATTGAGCTTAGGTGCATCCTGTCTCCATTGATCATCCTTGAGATGTTTCTACAACTTGATTGGAGTCCACCTGTGGTAAATTAAATTGATTGGACATGATTTGGAAAGGCACACACCTGCCTACAGTTGAAGTCGGAAGTTTACATACACCTTAGCAAATTACATTTAAACTTAGTTTTTGACAATTCCTGACATTTAATCCTAGTAAAAAATCCCTGTTTTAGGTCAGTTAGGATCACTACTTTATTTTAAGAATGTGAAATGTCAGAATAATAGTAGAGAGAATGATTTATTTCAGCTTTTATTTCTTTCATCACATTCCCAGTGGGTCAGAAGTTTACATACACTCAATTAGTATTTGGTAGCATTGCCTTTAAATTGTTTAACTTGGTTCAAACGTTTCCACAAGCTTCCCACAATAAGTTGGGTGAATTTTGGCCCATTCCTCCTGACAGAGCTTGTGTAACTGAGTCAAGTTTGTAGGCCTCCTTGCTCGCACACGCTTTTTCAGTTCTGCCCACAAATCTTCTATAGGATTGAGGTCAGGGCTTTGTGATGGCCACTCCAATACCTTTACTTTGTTGTCCTTAAGCCATTTTGCCACAACTTTGGAAGTATGCTTGGGGTCATTGTCCATTTGGAAGACCCATTTGCGACCAAGCTCTAACTTCCTGACTGATGTTGCTTCAATATGTCCACATCATTTCCCTTCCTCATGATGCCATCTATTTTGTGAAGTGCATCAGTCCCTCCTGCAGCAAAGCACCCCCACAGCATGACGCTGCCACCCCCGTGCTTCACGGTTGGGATGGTGTTCTTCGGCTTGCAAGCTACCGCCTTTTTCCTCCGAACATAACGATGGTCATTATGGCCAAATAGTTCTATTTTTGTTTCATCAGACCAGAGGACATTTCTCCAAAAAGTAAGATCTTTGTCCCCATGTACAGTTGCAAACCGTAGTCTGGCTTTTTTATGGCGGTTTTGGAGCAGTGGCTTCTTCCTTGCTGAGCGGCCTTTCAGGTTACGTCGATATAGGACTCGTTTTACTGTGGATATAGATACTTTTGTACCCGTTTCCTCCAGCATCTTCACAAGGTCCTTTGCTGTTGTTCTGGGATTGATTTGCACTTTTCGCACCAAAGTACGTTCATCTCTAGGAGACAGAACGAGTCTCCTTCCTGAGCGGTATGACGGCTGCGTGGTCCCATGGTGTTTATACTTGCGTACTATTGTTTGTACAGATGAATGTGGTACCTTCAGGCGTTTGGAAATTGCTCCCAAGGATGAACCAGACTTGTGGAGGTCTACAATTAATTTTCTGAGGTCTTGGCTGATTCTTTTAATTTTCCCATGATGTCATGCAAAGAGGCACTGAGTTTGAAGGTAGGCCTTGAAATACATCCACAGGTATACCTCCAATTGACTCAAATTATGTCAATTAGCCTATCAGAAGCTTCTAAAGCCATGGCATCATTTTCTGGAATTTTCCAAGCTGTTTTAAAGGCACAGTCAACTTAGTGTATGTAAACTTCTGACCCACTGGAATTGTGATACAGTGAATTATAAGTGAAATAATCTGTCTGTAAACAATTGCTGGAAAATTTACTTGTGTCATGCACATGCACACCGACTTTCCAAAACTATAGTTTGTTAACAAGAAATTTGTGGAGTGGTTGAAAAATGAGTTTTAATGACTCCAACCTAAGTGTATGTAAACTTCCGACTTCAACTCTATATAAGGCCCCACAAATGACAGTGCATGTCAGAGCAAAAAACAAGCCATGAGGTCGAAGGAATTGTCCGTAGAGCCCCGAGACAGGATTGTGTCGAGGCACAGATCTGGGGAAGGGTACCAAAACATTTCTGCAGCATTGAAGGTCCGCAAGAACACAGTGGCCTCCATCATTCTTAAATGGAAGAACTTTGGAACAACCACGACTCTTCCTAGAGCTGGCAGCCCGGCCAAACTGAGCAATTGGGGGAGAAGAGCCTTGGTCAGGGAGGTGACCAAAAACCTGATGGTCACTCTGACAGAGCTCCAGAGTTCTTCTGTGGAGACGGGAGAACCTTCCAGAAGTACAACCATCTCTGCAGCACTCCACCAATCAGGCCTTTATGGTAGAGAAGCCACTCCTTAGTAAAATGCACATTACAGCCCACTTGCCAAAAGGCACCTAAAGGACTCTCAGACCATGAGAAACAAGATTCTCTGGTCTGTTGAACCCAGATTGAACTCTTTGGCCTGAATACCAAGCGTCACGTCTGGAGGAAACCTGGCACCATCCCTACGGTGAAGCATGGTGGTGGCAGCATCATGCTGGTCCTCTGTAGCTCAGCTGGTAGAGCACGGCGCTTGTAACGCCAAGGTTGTGGGTTCGATCCCCGGGACCACCCATACACAAAAAATGTATGCACGCATGACTGTTTGGATAAAAGCGTCTGCTAAATGGCATATTATTATATTATTATGCTGTGGGGATGTTTTTCAGCGGCAGGGACAGGGAGACTAGTCAGGATCAAGGGAAAGTAGAACTGAGCAAAGTACAGAGAGATCCTTGATGAAAACCTGCTCCAGAGTACTCCGGACCTCAGACTGGGGCGAAGGTTCACCTTCCAACAGGACAACGACCCTAAGCACACAGCCAAGACAACGCAGGAGTTACTTTGCGACAAGTCTCTGAATGTCATTGAGTGGCCCAGCCAAAGCCCGGACCTGAACCCGATCGAACATCTCTGTAGAGACCTGAAAATAGCTGTACTGAGTAAAGGGTCTGAATACTTACGTAAATGTGATATTTAAGGGGGGGGAGGGGGTTTGTATAAATTTGCAAAAAAATCTAAAAAACTGTTTTTGCTTTGTCATTATGGGGTATTGATGAAAAAAAAGAAATATTTATTTATTTATTTTTAGAATAAGGCTGTAACGTAACAAAATGTGGAAAAGTCAAAGGATCTGAACACTTTCCGAATGCACTGTATTATGGTAAGGTATACCACCTTAATGTATCCCAACAATGGGATTCACATAGGCTTTTAGGGCACTTCTGTAAGCCTCATTGAAGCTACAAAAATGTAAATGTTTGACCTTAACATGTGATACCTAAACAACAGAATAGATTAACATGAATTACATTTACTATGGGTGGCTAAAAATAACTATCTGAAAGCCATTCACCTACTAAACTATGCCTCCAGTCTTCTGAACTGACCAGCTGGGTCATATCTCAATAACCCAGTACCATGCATCAATAACAACAGCAGCTTTTAAAGAAAACAACCCAACTAAGTGCCTGCAACCCAGCAATTTGGTCAACCAAACAACCCAGCATTTTTTTGAGTGTAGTTTATGCTTGTGGCTAGAAACTCCCACAAGAGTTTGAAACTTGTTTGCTAAAGTTGGCACTTTGAGAGAGTTCGGAATCATTCAGTTTGAGTAATTGTAGACGTTAAACTAAAATGTAGACGTTAATGCCATAGTTGTACATTTTCAGTAAAAATCACCACAATAAATGTGCTTCACCCTGT